ATCCTACTCATTGCCCTGCTCCCTCCTCGCAGGATCCTGAACTCCACCATCTCATGGTCACTGCAGCCAAGGCTGCCCCCAACCTTCCCATCTCCAACTAGACCTTCTTTGTTCGTTAGTACAAGGTCTAGCATTGCACCTCTCCTCGTTGGCGTCTCCACCACCTGAGTCAAGAAATTATCCTCAGTGCTCTGCAGGAACCTCTTTGACTGTTTGTGCCTAGCTGTGCTCTCTTCGCAGCAGATGTCAAGGTGGTTAAAGTCCCCCATGAGAACCAGGAGTCCCAAAACCAGGAGTCAAAAGTCCCAGAAGCCCTATAGGCAGAGTTTGCTCATCCATTCCATGAGTTACTCAGTTTGCCTTATGTGGCACAGAGGTTATTGATTCTGAGGTTAGCACTTCGTGTTCAAAAATCACTGCTATTCCAAGTGCACATCTTAATTTTTATTGTTTGTGTTACCATAAAGTATAATAAAAGGATGGGAATCCATGGCAAAATCCTGCCCAGCTCCTCAGGCTGTAGACATATACTGCTAGAAGACTGTTGTAGTCTTCTGCTTTCTTGCAAGCCTCTCATTCCAGGTTTTAATGGCTCTAGTTTCGATAACCCTTTTCGATCATCCCATTAGCAGTAGCCTCAGAGTGAGGCATCCCAGGGATGTCTGCGCAGCTCCTAATGGGTGTGTGAGACTGCATATTGAATGCTTAGTTCTCTGAATCCAGAGGATGGAAAACTAGAAAGCGCTATCCTGGCTGTGCACTAGTGTTTTGAGGAAAGGCCAAATCTAAGAACCGTAATCAGTACTGGACATATGAATCAACAGGGCTGCAAAGCAATGTGGGAAAACACACCCGGAAGTGATAAAATAGGTAAACGTACTCCATAGATACTCTAGCACAAGCAAGGAGTGTTTATCCTCACCCCTGTGACATGAACACTGATGCTGTAATTCAAAAGCTTCCTACACAAATATTATGCTGTTTAAGAATTACCATATGATGATGCACGGCTTTTCATCAGTTAGCAGCTGAGCTTTGTATAAAGTAAGCTCTGTCAGGGAGCATTGAACTGCAGTGTGACTAAGCTACAGGGCACAATGTTAAGGTACTTTCCCAATTCTCTATCTGGTCTGTTCCACAAAAAATGATGAGTCTCCCTGAGTAGACACCTTTCCCAACCTACTCTTCAAACTCAGCTCGCCCTGTTAAGGAAAAACTATACTTTTTGTGTTGGCTTCAACAGCACAGATAATAAGAGTCAAATGAAGACTGGCTCAGACCTTATCTCTAGTCTTATTTTTCCTTGAGTTTTGTTTCCTAGAACTCCTTAAATTAAATCCTTTATTTGTCAGATATCCCTTTCTAACTCTCATAATATTAAGGTAGGATAAAATCCTTCTGCTCTGGTGGGTCATAAACTCTCTTCCAGACATACTTCCAGCAGAATCGATATAGGCTAAAAAAAACTACCACTATGATGTATTGTAAAACCAACAATTTCAGTCAAAGAAATTTAACTGATGAGGCTAAGTGGAAATACCATGGGTACAACAGTTCCTCCCCTTAACTCCCTTTGCAACCATTTTGCTAAGAGCAGAGAGGACCTGCTAAACTATATCCACAAAGAAAGGTGCTGATATAAAAGACTCAGCCTCAGTATATCACTTTTTTTTTTAATAAGTAAAAACTTAAGACTATCTGCCTTTCCAAAATAGGGAGATAGAGAGGAAAATGCATTTTTCCGTAAAATATAATGTTAGAGTAGAGCTAGTTATGGCATTCCCTTCCTGTCCCTTCCCTCAACAGTGACTGTAAAGACATTTTTGTTATAATTGTGCTGATATGCTCACACATCAGTTTTTACATTTACAACGCAGCAAATGTATGTTGCATTAAAGGACCTCTGAATCACATTCTACCATGCCTTCATGCTGAATTTAATTATTTATTTCACAGATTAGATGTGATGAGCTATAAAATTGACTTAAAAGGCTTGAAATTCTCTTTTTATTTTTTGAATGCATATGTTATATATTATATATTTATGGTATATATTTTGTGTATATATTTAGGCATGATTTTTTATAACAATGTTTGTGGAACTAACTGGTAAAGATAATGAAACCCAAATCATTGCAAAATATGCAGAAAAAAAGAAGACAAGCAAATATTTTATAGTAACTGAAATGCACTGCAGAATTATTTTTCTGTAATAGGCCTGTATATTCAGAACACCTCTTTTTGGTAACTTGCAGCTGCTCCTTTCTTCCTCTTATATCATAGCACTCTTTACATGGTTGATTGTTTTTATTTTTAAAACTCCTCTACGTTCTTGGGCTACATTCAGGAGCAAAGGTTAGCGATAAGCAAACCCTAACTTTGCTACACTTCACAAGAACCATTTGGAAGAGAAGTTTTGCAGAGAGATTTTTCACTTCTTCCAAGAAGAGACCATCAAAAAGAGGGCAAACAGAGTACATGAACTTCTCTCTCATTTTTCCGCATGGAAATAATGGTGTCTTATAAAGATGAGGTATATCTATATTTTTCCTAATTGTTAGCTGTGACATAAAAACATAATCAAATGTTTAAAGATATCTTATTGCTCATTTTTCTTTATGTGGAATCTATGTGATGCTGCATATGGGGAGAGGAGAGCTGGGAACCTGTATTCCTGCTTTCCTTGCCTAGCTATTTTGGGAGCCTTAAAGAGAAGGCATGTATGCTCATCTCGTTGCAGACATCAGGCATAAACTGAATTTCTAAAAGTCTTACTGAACATAGATTTAAAGTTCTAGTCCCTTCCTTTCTCATTCCCCTAACCCCGCATCCTCCATATGTATATACACACAAATATGAATGGACCAAGAGTGCAGCATATTGTCCCTCACCTAGACACAGGACAGAATCAAAGGGTAATTTTGACTGCCTTGTCTGCCTCTTAAACTCTTGGCCTAAGTTCTAAACAAAAAGGCTTTTTAAACCGATACCGAATTACAGAAAGTGTGAGATACATACACATACACCACATACTCTTTCAATTTATGTAAATTAGCTTTTAATACGAAGAGGAAAAATACCACATTTTCCAGTGCTTTGCCATGTGTGATGCGCAAGAGCACATGCACATCACTGCTACTGTCTACTCCACTTCAGAAGCTTATGAGGTTACAGCTCTGTGATATTGAAGTTCTATCCATTTTGATGTCTGATTGTTTTAACAGGATATTTACTTGTAATTTAATACCTGATGTTATTCTCTCTCTTCTTCTTTTCTCTCAGAACAAATTATGACATCGACATCTAAAGGAATTTTCCGGCCATTTTTTATTATCTTCATTGTCCTTGGTTGTTTCATGGCATTTTTACTTGTTTATATCAAACCAACAAACAGCTGGATCTCTGGTCCTATAGAATCAGCCAGCTCAGTTTTGAAAATGAAGAGCTTCTTTTCTTCTAAAACTGATAATTTTAATGAAACAACTATTTTGATCTGGGTTTGGCCATTTGGTCAGACATTTGATCTAACATCCTGCCAAACGATGTTCAATATCCATGGGTGCCATCTGACTATTGACCGTTCACTATACAACAGATCCCACGCCGTTCTCATTCATCACAGGGACATCAGCTGGGATCTAACTAATTTACCTCAGCAAGCCAGGCCACCATTCCAGAAGTGGATTTGGATGAATTTGGAGTCTCCAACTCATACTCCACAAAAAAGTGGCATTGAACATCTCTTTAACCTGACCCTGACTTATCGGCGCGATTCAGATATTCAGGTGCCTTATGGCTTCATGATGGTTGGTACAAGTTCATTTACATTTGAAGTGCCAAGTAAAGAAAACTTGGTGTGTTGGGTTGTAAGTAACTGGAACCCTGAGCATGCTCGAGTCAAGTATTACAATGAGCTTAGCAAATATATTGAAATCCATACCTATGGACAAGCCTTTGGAGACTATGTCAATGATAAAAACTTGATTCCAACTATCTCCACCTGTAAATTCTATCTTTCATTTGAAAATTCAATCCACAAAGATTACATTACTGAGAAACTTTACAATGCTCTTCTGGCTGGATCAGTACCAGTTGTACTGGGCCCTTCCAGAGAAAACTATGAGAATTACATTCCAGCAGACTCATTCATACATGTAGAAGATTTTCTCTCCCCCAGAGAGCTGGCAGAATATCTTCTGATGCTTGACAAAAACAACAAGATGTACCTTAGCTATTTCAACTGGAAGAAGGATTTCTCGGTGCATCTTCCTAGGTTCTGGGAATCACACGCATGTCTTGCTTGTGATCATGTGAAAAGACACCAAGAATATAAATCCATTGGAAACTTAGAAAAATGGTTCTGGGATTAATCTCTTTTTTTTTTTTTTTTTTTTGAAGTATCTGAAAGAATCCTTAGTCCAAATGGAGAGGAAAGCAGAAGAGAAGAAGGAAGGAAAAGAGAACCTTAGGTCATAGTTTATCAGCTCTCCTCTCTTGGCTATCTTATTTATATTTTATAAGAAATTTTAAAAGATCAGCAGCAGCAGTCATCAATACTCAGTTTTAAATTATAATGTACGTACTAGTTATGTGCACTGAAGAATATTTTATTGTTTACTATAATTTTTAAATGAGGGTTTTTCACATTTTCTGTGGAATATGTCCCAGTCTTACACATAAAGTAGTCATTTTTAACACTGTTCTTTTCACATTAGATTATCTGTTTAACCTATTTGGAAAATGAGGACACAACTCTTAAAGTACTATAGAGAATTTTAAGAACATAATTTGCTGTTCTAGTCTGAAATGTCTGTAATATTTCAAAAGACAGTAAAGTTTTTTTATGGTCCATCTTACAACTTAGGAACACAGTAAAGTTCAATACCTGCCATTATTCCAGTGTGCACCTCTTTTTAAGGGTAATGAATTTAGAAATATAGTTTTAAAAAGCTATCACAATAGTAGACAGTCTTTGTTTCTAAAAAGGAAAATGAGTTTCCTAATGAATAGACCCATTAAGTTACTTCAGGAATATATCTGTTCTTACTCTCCTAAGAATAAAGATGTCAGATATAGAGAAAATGGATAATCTTAGTGACCGAAGCCCTGATTCATTCAGCTTTTGAGTACCTTTAAATTCAGCATGTGCTTAAGTCCCATTATGTCTCATGCATTGTTTACCCGAGCCAGGGTTGTAACTGGTGTTAAACTGATAAATAAGTAAACAAATTTGAATATAGGCATTTGATTGCATCAGCTTCATATATAGTATTCAGCTAGTAATAACAAGTTTTTGAAAATAGACTGAGAAGCTTTACCAATTTTTCTCATATAATTTTTTGAATAATTATGAGTTATTCCTCAAGTCTGTAAAGGTTTGTTCAACTTTAATTGTAGCTGGGCAACTTACTGTCACAGCTGATTAATGTGGAAAAAAACACTGAAAGAAAAATGCTGAAATTCAGTCTACATCAAGTATCAGGCCAACATACTCAATCAGTTCAGCTATTGAATTTTATTTTTGGAAAATAGGCTATGTGGCAGGTATAAACAAATGTACTCGGCAGCAGTAGATGCTATCAAAATTTAAGTATATAAATATGTTCATGAGTATTATATTTGCTATGATAACAAATACTAAAATGTGTTTTTGTCTTGTTTGTTTAAAATATGTTTTTAACACATGTATCACTTGATTTTGTTACTCTTTCAGCAAGATGTAAACACCTGACTGCTATATAGTCATAGGTATAAGACTGAGTTAATGCTATAGATGTATGGATATATTTTTGTTCCAAGTGAAAGCCACTCTGTTTTTTTTTTTACATCAAAATATTACAGATCACAGCTCCTACTGAGTTGTAGTCATCTCTGAGTCTTGTGATTATTTTTCGGAGATGTTCTAAATTATATTAATTTTTTTTCTGAATATATTACCTTTTTCTTTAAAGAAAGAATTATAAAAGAAACTGAAGTAAAAGAAATGTAAAAAGATACATACTCATTGCTAAGCGTCTTGCACGAAGTCAGCACATACTCCTGATCGTTAAAAGTTGAACATTTGGTCCAAATAATTTAGAGTCTTTAGACTTTTCCCTAAGTAAAGGAAATAACACACAAAGATCTCAAAGTATGAAGATATAAGATAATATCGTCTTTTCTAATTTACTGTGAACAAATACATAACCTGCTACTAACCTAAGGCCTGGAAAATGAAGCCACATATAGAAAAGGACAAAAATGTAAAAGTTTGATTGGAAAAAAATTAACTGATATATAAGACCTTGATCTAACAAAGTAACTGATCAAGTACTTAAGATTAAACTTGCAGACAACTGTTTTGAAGTGAGGGATAAGAGATGAACAACGATAAACATTTAGCAAAAGAAGGTAATTTTTCTGATAGCTCTTTTACCCTAGACTGGAACACAAACACTGAAGCCTGTAAGAGTAACAGTAATATTTCTGAAGTCGGAAACTGCACTGGAATGGTTATAGCATTATACCTGTACTTTCCTTATGGCTTCAAAAGCTGTTTTCTGATACAGATATTTATTTCTGCTATATTTATTGCACTCTTAAGAAGCTAATTTATAAGATACTGTGAACCTCCTAAATTCACCAGCATTTCCATATGAAACAAGAAGAAAGAGTTTACCTTGCACATTAATGCAATATAATGAAACCCAGTCTTCTAAAAGTAAAGTACAGGCATGGAAGTAATACAGTATTTCTGTCATTTTGAAGGCAAATATCTAAAGCCTACAGAACAGAAACTAAGAGAATTTCACAATACTTTTTGGTTTTCAGGAGGGCTATGAAATTCTCAGTCACTTAATATGTCATTGCTTTGGCTGGATAACCTGATTCCTTTGATGCTGGAATTTGGAAGTTCTTTGCACTAATCTCAGTGGAAGTATATTCACCCTTTGGTGAATGTACACAATCCCTTATTTCATTCCTCATTTCAGGTAGTTGAAGCTGTGTTGTGCCAAGGTCTTAAGTCAAATCAGACTGGTCTCTTGTCTTCAAGAGTCAGCTCATGAATTCTCCTATTAGTAAGTATGTACAGTAATGAAATGAGAAGATAGATGATTTATCACTACAAGTATCAATTGGTGTCTATGCAGGGAAGTGTTTAAATATACACTGAATTTTAAGCCGGTAGGTAATGTCATTAATTCTGTGAGCACTGGATCAGGTCAGCACGGCTAATCTCTTGCTGAACCATTAAGATATTTGAAAGTCTTTCGCTACAACTGGGAACAGAGTTGATCTCCTCACAGAACCTTCACAAAAGGCTTGTATGTTCCTTTGCATTCAGGATGCATTGCTCAAATTGTCTGAAAGATTAATGAAATGGGAGAGAAATCTAATCCACATTGGAACGACTATGAATTATGAACATAGCCTAAGCAAATGACATCAGAAGTGTCAGCAAGGTATTAGGATGAAGTGCATGGGGTGGAACATAAATGATCCAGCCATTTTATGAAGTTTTCAGAGGGAGCTAGAGGTTTTGTCAAGCCTTAAGCAGCGCGGAATGTAAAGAACTTTGCTGACAAAATTTAAGCATCTTCAGAAATGTCCAAACTGGATGGTACCTGACACGAAGCAATGGATGTAAAATAGCTGGACTTCATGCATATGTAAAGGCAGTATAACTAAACCTAGACACTTAACTCCCAGAAGATTGATTCCAGTCTGTATGTGACATTAAGCATTGTATTCCTTCAGTGAACCCTTCTACACAAACAATTAGCATAAAGAGACTTGAATAGTAAATCACTTGAAAGGAGAATGGGCAAAACCAATAAATCATGGAAGGAAAAATAACTTGGAGTTGGTTAAAATAGAGAACACGGTATTGTTTGTGCCTTGGTAACGCTGGCAAAAGAAAACGGTTGTACATGACAAAAGAAATGGAAGATGAGAAATCACATTGATTCCCACTGTTTTCTCAACAGTTTTGTTTCAGACACTCAGCCTATTTTATGTGCCAGCCTGCAATAATCTGGGCACAAATTCACTAGTTACAAGTTAGTTCTGCAGTCATTGCAATATGGCTTAACAACATCTTCTGCAACGCTATATTTTTCAAGACAGAGTAATCATTATCAGTTCCTAGCGATGCCTTCTTCTGGACAGCTTTAGGCTCTCTGTCCTGCACTGAGCTATCAACATTCCTGTCTTTATCGGTGCAGAAAATAAGATCCAAAACAGATAAAGTACTAACTGCAGACATATTACCAGCCCACTGAATGTGAATGGATACCAGATAAACCAACAGCAGATCCTTCCAAAGCAGACTTTTCCTTTCATTTCACAGACACTCAGTGACCACAGCAGCTCTTGCTCCATATGAGTTCTCCATTCCTTAAAGACTCCTGTTTGCCAGCTTCTTTGAATGCCTTTTCCCATCTGAGATGGCTGTAATCACAATGAACAAGCAGCTTGAGTGAGGCTCACACAGTGTACAAGACACGGCCAGCAACATATTTGTCTTTTAAGAAACAGGGCACATAAATGAATGTTGCACTGAGAGAGCAGGAATCTGGGGATTTTTAGAGTTCATGCAGACTGAACAAGATGTTTGAAATTGGCATTACTGAGCACAAATAACTAGTTACTGTCTCTAGCTATTTATCTTTGCTCCTCAAAATGGGCTCTCAGGAAAAAAATGGTGCCACGTAATTCTCCCCACCTCCAATCAGCCCAGCCTCAGTTAAATAACCGAAAACTGCTGATGATTACTTATGAATGACATTCATGTTGGCCTTGTATTATCTCTCGTATTAGATAAAAAAATAACATCTGGGGGAGAGAAGTGAACTCTGTCAGTAAGCTGATCATATTTCATATTTGATACAAAGAATCCTTATCTCTTTTGTTTTTTTTTTTTTTTTTGAGGTAAATCATTCTGTCCCATTCATTCGGGAAAGACTTTAAGCACATGCTTATAGCCATGAGACACAAGCACATGCTTAAATTTAAGAGCATCTTAAATGCTTTAATGTATTGGGGCTTCAAACAGTATAATTACTGTAGTTGGGAATGGAGTTCATGTGACCTCTTTTGCATCCCACTGCCTAAGGGGAGCACCCTATGAGTAGACTGGCTGCTCCAAACTAAAAACTATTCGGACAAATTCTGGTTTAGTGTCTATCCAGCAGACCTTGGGCCTACTCTTCTGCTTCAGCAAACAATATGTGCCACCATCACCTCACAGTACGGTACTCCACTTTACAGCCCCGCTATGTTAGGCGTGGTATGTGCAATTGGATGTGGTATAAGGAGGAGCCAAGGCCTGCTGAGATAGTATTTAAAAGGACTTTGCTAGGAAAAAAACATAAAACCTGGTCACGTCTATGTATGTTCAGCCTGGACAAAGTGTACCCTGGGGAAGATGAGTCTTGACCTTGCCAGAATTTCCTCTTGGAGGGAAATACTTGGTTCATTCCAGATGGGACTCTGCGGTTGAACAACCACGTACGCAAAGTGGTAACAGGAGGTCCAGGGTCTCGGAGAGACTGGGCACATTAGTCTGTCTGTGCAGACTGACTCTGGAAGCGGTTAGGTATCTTTAGGAAGGCTTCTGACCTATTTAAATCTACCAAGTGCTTCCTTGGTCAAAAATAGTATGCTATTGAGAAAAGAATCAAGGTGAAGTGTTTGTTTATCTACAGGTGGGGGGCTTTGTAATTAATATTGGTTCACAGTTCTAGCTGTTTTTTTTAATGTAAGTGATTTTGAAATGTTAGCTAGAATCACAGAATCACAGAATCGTTTAGGTTGGAAGGGACCTCTGGAGATCATCTAGTCCAACCTCCCTGCTCAAGAAGGGTCACCTAGAGCATATTGCCCAGGATCACATACAGGCGGCTTTTGAATATCTCCAGCGAAGGAGACTCCACCACCTCTCTGGGCAACCTGTTCCAATGCTCTGTCACCCTCACAGTGAAGAAGTTTTTCCTCAGGTTGAGATGGAACTTCCTGTGGTTCAGTTTCTGCCCAGAAACTAAGATAATTCACATGATTCATACAAAATAGCTATTTCAGCCTAATCTTTTACTCCTCACTTAGGCAAATCTCCCATTGGAGTCAGCAGGTGACTTGGGAGATCCTCAGGTTAGGAATACAGGATTGGGCCTAGAGCAGAATGGCTTCGGCAAGAAACAGCCTTCTTATTTGTGGATGTTTCCCTTCTAAAATGTGAGTAAATAGTTCTAGTGGTCTTGCCAGTTCTACCTTTAGAAAATCTGTACAAAATTCATATTGGTTGGATATGTTCATAAAAGCTACAGAAATGCCAATAAATGGATTAAATAAAGCATTCAGTAATAATTTTAATTCATGGCACAAATGCCACAGAGTGATACAGATGATGAAACTACAAATTCATGAGGAATAATTAGACCTAGGGATATCACACTGCAGTTTCTGTACTGGAAAAAGTGATTTAATTACTCTATTGGAAAAGTAATTAATTGGGAATCTTCTCTTTTATGTTGCCATATTCTCTATGCAATTAACTGAGACCAAGAGTCTCTGTGCAGTGGATAGTTCAGATATTTGGTCACACGGCACAGAGCCCTTCCACCTCTAGGTTTATAGCCTGAATTATGAGTAGATTGGTGTAGACAGCTGTTTGGCAGCCTCTAGTAGACGATGATGAGATCTCACTCCAGTTCCTCATGGACTGATAGCCACACCACAGAAACTTTCATACAATTAGCTCTGTCAGTAGTTTCAGCCAAGGAGGCAAAGAGTTGAACGGAGACTCATCTGACACCTTGCCTTAGAGTGTTTCTGGGCACATTTACTACAGGATGATTTAAGAAGCTCATAGTCGTCCTGCCTGTACTGTGCCTGTTTACGACGAGGGCTTTAGTGTCCTGAGTAAAATAACAGAGTATTGGCATTTTTTAAAGCATGGTGCCAGGTTGTATGAATTAAGTATTCATAGCTGGGAAAATTCTTCATTAAATTTCCTAAGTAAATAATTATTAAGGAAATCATTTAATTGTTGCAAATTCGCAGCAAAAGCAATTGTTTGCTATTCTTTATATGGATTAACCCAGTGGAAAATATATTTTGATGAGACCTTATACCCTCCTGACTTGATAGAGCTAGTTTGAATCCATATTTATGCATGTATAATAGCAAATTTTGAAAGATATACGGTAAACCAGCACTTACATATATGAAGTTGGGATAAAGTTCTTTCCACAGAACCTTGAAGCTATAACCAGCCACTTTAGCAGTAAAAATGTTCCCATCAATCCTTTTCCTTATGACATGGTATGAAAAGTCAAGTCTCATATTTGTTGTCTGGCAAATAAATTAACCCTAAAATCTACAATTTCCCTTGCTGTTTTGTTTGTAACACATATGTTCTAAGAGATGAGATTAAAAAGTATGGAAAGTTAACTCCTGTGGTGCAATTTAATGTTTTAAAGATGCGGTGGATATACTGAAGAGAACAAAGTGAGCGTTTTTCCATCTGTACAAAATCCTAATGTGCCAAACTGTTTCTACTGAATGAGCAAAACAGTTAAACATAATGACTTTTTATTAGGATTTGAAAAAATCTTCTATTAACGCACTGTAATTTTGCACTATTTTGTAAGAAAAGAAAAAAAGGAAAAAGAAAAAAGGAACTGAAAAAGAAACAAAAAAATTTTAAAATCTAAAAACAGATGCCAAATGTATACTTTGTAAAATAATATTTTTCTTATATAAGGTGTCATCACATTGTGAATTTAACTGTGTTATTGTAAACTGTGAAAATGTGATGTACATTCGTGACACAGCCTAGCAAGGGCCATTTCTAACACACAGATGAGTCACCTGGACTTGTTTATATGAAACACATTCATAAATCTGAGATCACTTTTATACTTATTTTTTGTAGACTATTTTTCCACATTTACAACACAACTGTTATTTTATATCAAACATTGATTTTGCTTTAAAATATTATTAGAGTAGTTAGGTGGATGTCTTAAATGTGCCAGAGATTCAAAACCGTAACAAAGGTAATTCAGAAACTATTCTTTGCCAAACTGTAATGCTGCTAAAATCCAAAATGTTTTGTTGAATAAGCAGGCATACTGTCAATAAATGATGATAAAGTTTCTGTTCCATGGTAATGTGACAATATTACATTTGCTAGGATAAATGCCTGATAGTTATGAGCTACATTTCCCTTCTGTCTTTCTGTATGTTGGGGAAACAATACTGAGTGCCATAGCTGAATGTCATAGATATTTAGCCACTCATATTACGTGCCACAGACTTGACCTCCAAAATGTATTGATGAGAATTACGAGAAATACCTGCTGCTTGTGTAGATTCAAACCCACTTTCTCTGTTGAATCACAATAACATGGGTGGTTGACACACAGGACTGGTATGATCTCAGTAAAGACAGTAAGTTCTAAATGTGGAAATATGGGCCCACATGTATTGACCTAGAGCAAGATCAGAACCACAGTCCCTCTCTTGTTTATTCGAGCTTACACATATAGCATTGAATGGGATCCGATATGAACCCTTGCTTCATGTTCTCAGATAATGATATTTCTTGTGCTGACTTTTATGTGTTTTATATATATCATATATAATGCATAAATATATACATAAGAAGTAGTAACTATGGAAAACTGGATTTTAATAAAAGTAATGAAAATCTGCAGGCACATTTTAAGATGCCATGTTAGTAGGAGATCCTGTAAAAAGCTGTATTTTTTATTTATTAGTGATTGTATATTTTGCCCCATGATGTAGACATTTTATAACAGGGATTCTACCAGACTTTGTGTGTTCCCTTTGAACAACATCATCACCCTGAAATGCATCTGAAAAATGTAGACGCTTAGCTACTGATGTTTGTCAGTATTTTTTTAATTTGATGTTGTTGTTAAAATTTCTTCTGATTACCTACAACTATGTTCACAGTTTTGAACACAATTTGACTGCAGTTAGAAGATACCTACTGTATGAAACCACAGGTAACTGTAACCATTTCAAGGACTTTCATCATTTATGTGAAATTAATCTTTCAGAACTCTGATTCCGACACAGTTAACAAGCAGCTTACTGACTCTTATTTATTGGGCACTGGAATTCTCCCAAAAGGATAAACACTGAATTATGTAAATAATAGTGCTCTATATATGCCTAACAAATTATTGTAATAGGTATATTTAAAATAAAAGGAAACATTCTAAGTGCACTGTGGTCTTAGATCATTATTTTGTAGGTCTGTTTTCATTCTTCTTTCCCTTGTGCAATTTCTCTTCACGAGTCTGTTCTGAAGACTGTTGCCAGTAGCACCAATGACTTTTGGCTGCGATCTCACAAACAGAATTCTAGTTCTTTTCAAGCTGTTACGGATGAAACCCTTGTAAGCTTCCAGGGTCAGACTGCATTCACATGGACTCTACATGAATTTGCAAAGTACAACAAGCAACATAGCTGAATTACTATGGTGCTACAATTTGGATTACTTTGCCTTGCAATATAATTTTGCAGCACCCTTTGAGCAATCATATCATTTTTTTGAAAATATAAGGCACTTGTTACTGGAAAATAGGCTTCATTAAGGAGGTATCAATTTGATGCCCAAAATCATAACTTACTTTTCAGAAATAGGGTCTATATAATCTTATAAAACATCTCAGAGGATGATCAGTAGAGTAGTAATTTAAATGCTCATACTTAATTGCTTCATCTACTGTTCAAATAACCTACATTTACATAGCTTAAAGAAGTGGTATCTCTAAAATAGCAAATGTTGTAACATAATGATGTCAGTTTAATTTTCAAAGCAATAAATAGGAATTTGAAATGGCTGCCACTGAAATACCTGTAATAAATACTGCAGTATTGCCAGTAAAACAGAACATTTGATCCCAGGGATTTCAGTGAATCCAAGGCAAAATATTACATCTGTGAAGCTTGACTAATGGGTTGGGGTCTTCCAAATCCTTCTCCTTCCGTTTAGACAGACAAATTTCCATTGCTCCTGAACTAACACAGCTTTGCTCTTTTGGATAATTTGTTTTTTAAAGTTTGTCTAATTTATGTCATTTGCTCAAACCAAACTTATCATCCTCTTGAACTCATCCAAGACAAGTGCAGAGATAGATAGATAGACTCATTTTTAATAGTATATATGAAAGAAGTCCCTGACACATTTCATTCTTGCATTCAAATGCCACATCAAAAAGTAAATCTTGGATAGAACATACAACTTTCTGTCTTTAAAGAGAGCTTTTTTTGAAATGATCCATTCCTCTCTCACAGCTCTAAAGAGTCCCCAAATATGCCATCTGCTTGAACACAGAGTCTTGTGTGTTTAGAAAGTTAGGCCTCCATACCTAAATGTCAGAAGCAGCCGACTTCATGAGGACTGCATAGAAGGTGTGCAGGTTCCTAGCACTGCTAGCAACAGGGGCTATTACAGAGGCTGAAGGAACATCTGTAGGGTGAAAAGGTTGCTGTGGGCATGACTTCTCAGGCAGGGAAACATACAGCAACAAACTCTATATTAGCCTTACACAGGCTGGTACTTAAAGAGAAAACAGTTCATTGAACTGAAAGTGGAGCCAGTGTGGGAGTCTGAGAGCAGGCTAGGACCTCTCAGCAAGGCTAATAGGGGAGGCAGAGAGACAAGCCGTTCCACCACTTCTGGGTCCATTAGCTAGCTACAGCCTGTCTACACCACACTACAAAATAACCCGTTTCAGTTCTCACACTCACCGAAACAACAGCTTCCTTTTTAGTGCAAT